GCCCGGCCGCGGGCGAACGGCGCCCGGCTCCAGAGAAGCCCCGGCCTGCGGGGTCACCTGCTGCCTCCAAAGCCAGAGGCTGCGGGTTGGAAACTGCCCGCGAGTCAGAAAATTAAAAATTATCCCTTTTCAAGGCAACGTTGGAGGCTTTCAGGAATTCCCACCCCTCCCTTGTGAGCCTGGCCTTGCCAAGAGACACCTGTGGCACAACGCTGCTGGCACAACGTGCGCTTGGATCTTTGCTTCAGGGTCTGTTGATACTGGCAAAGGCTCCTTCCAGGAGCCACCGGCAGCAGCTGCATATCCCCATCCCCTCCCGGATCAGAGGCAGAGGGGACAGCACCCTGCGAAGCTCCATGTTCCCCTCTGCACCTGACCTGGCACAGCCCAAGGGCACAGAGCCTGTGACAGGTCGATGCTGTCTGCATGGCAGCTCCTGCTCCTGGACCAGGTGATGGGGTAGCTGCAGGGCCTGGGCTCCCCCGCTGGGCTTATGCCCCCCAGGAGCAGCAGGGCAAGAGAGGCAACATCTCACAGCCTGGGCATAGCCGCCTGAGATCACCCCCTCCAAAGCCTGCTGGCTGAGCAGGGACCCCGGGAGAAGTGTGGTGCCATGGCACAGGGAGAGGGGGCCCTGCAAGGGCTGCGGAGGGATGGCCCCTCAGGCTACTTCTGCCCGATGGGGCTGGGGCCAGCTGCGTGGCAGCCCAGGCGAGGGCAGGCAGCAATGGGAAAAACTCGTAGGTGCAGGGAGGTCTGCACTAGGAGATGCTCCATGTCCATGACGGAGGGCAGGCAGCCGTGTCCCCGCAGCCAGCCCCACTATGTGCCGGGTCGTGCCCAGAGAGCACGTGTGCAGCCGGCAAAGGGCACAGCAGAGCTCCAGGGAGCGGGTGCTGAGGGCAAAGTTTCACCCTCACCACATGCCAGCAGCTCCTCCTGCTCCCTCTCTTGGCCCCTTTCTGCCCCTGCCTGCTGCAGCCTAGAGAGCTGCACACTGGCCCCAGGAAAGCTGTTTGTTGAATAAACACAGACAGAGAAAAGAGGCATTGGAAAAGGAAGGAAAAAAAAAACCCAAAAACCAAACACCAAACTCTCTTTGGGCTTGCGCAAGTGGCCTTGGGTCCCAGACAGTATTGATCCTCGAGTCTTCTACCCTGCCTGTGCAGCACCTGGGTCGGTGGGAACCCTTTGGGGTTGAGTCCTGCAGGCACTGGAGCCAGGAGACCCACTCCCAGCACAGCGGCTGCTGCTCCTCAGGGGGGCGACCTGGGTCCCCCACGCCAGCAGGGCTCTGCGGGAGCACTTGCCCCCCCCCCCCCAACGCAGCACAAGTGAGTGCTGTCCGCTGCTCATGGTGGTTCTGTCCCTCCTCAAGGGGCTGCAGCTCCTCTGGGGTAATGTCACCCCCGTTCCTGCTCTGCCCAGAGCTGCTCACAGCCCCAGCCACCCCCAGGAGCTCCCATCACCAGCTGCCCTCTCACACCCCCAACACCCCTTACTGTTCTCTCGGTCCTCACACAAGGGACACGTGTGAAGCAGTGAAGAAACCCGAACACAGGATTACATAATGGAGCTGATGTGTCAGAGCCGCCCTTTGCCCCCAGCTCTCACGGCACAGACATGTCCTGCTTTGCCAGGCTGGCAAGGGGCAGGGAAAGGGGCAGTTGCTCTGCTCCTGGCCTCTGGACAGAGCTGTGCTGGCAGCTCCCCAGCAAGGGAGCTGCTGGAGAGCTGTGGGCAAAGGCAGGCACCATGGCACTGCAGCTTTGGCAGTGTTACCTGGCAGTCACTGTCCACTTTAAAAGGGAGAGGGGTTGCTCAGTTTTGTCCTGAACTGGGACAAAAATGGCCAAATACAGATGGTTTTGGTGGAATGGGAAATCTGGCCCAGCTAAAGAACGGTACCTTCACCAGGGGGGATCGCAAGCAACCCATGGCCGGGGTCTCCCTCCCATGCCCTGGCTCTGGTCAAGACAAGTCAGGGGCTCTGCCTCCCCGGGGAAGACAGCAAAGGGGCAGAGTGTGAGAGCAGCGTGGGGCCACTTGGCTTGCAGCCTTTGGGTCCTGCTGGTGGATGTCCAGCCCTGCTGATTGGGATTTGTACCAAGCTGTTGGCTAGGACCGTACATGGCAGAGTTGGGCACAGGGACAAACCTCCCTGCATCCCTCCAATCCCTGTTTCTGAGCAGGCTCCCAAGCAACTTGGTCTACCTCTCCTCCTCCTGCAGCATCCGTGTTCCCAGCTGCTTGTGCAAGCCCCAGGGACAGTCCCCAAAAAGGCCCCCAGCCCAGACTGCTAAAAAAAAGAGCAGGGCAGTTCTATGCCGTCTTGGGACTGTCTGTGCTAGGGCTTATCCAGCACCTTGCACTTTGGGGATGGGGAGAGCATGTGCTGGCTAATGATAGGGCACACGCATGTGCACTCACACATGCACACACTGAGTCTGGGACTCTTTTATTGAATAGCAGGGAGCTGGGATGCTTGGAGAGGGAGGCACTTCCCTACCATTGGGATCAATTTTCCCTTCCTCACTCTCTTCAACCTCAAGTTCAGTTGAGGAGTGGGGCCCTGTGGCTGGCTCTCTCCACTCTGACCTAGTCAACTGCTAGCTTGTTCTCAGGTTCTTGTCTTCCCCAGCAGCCTGGCCCCACTGGCCAGGGCTGGGACACGTTCCCTGAGGAGCACATGTTCATGTTGCAGCACCAAGGGCTGCACCATGGCCTTGGCCACGGGACCAGCACTGGGGAGGGCAGAGGTTGCTCTGACCCAGCTAGCTATGTGGTTTTTGCAGAGTCCTGCAGGCAGAAGGGGCTGATTTCAAACAGAAGCAGCTTTCAGGCTGTGGTCTGGGAGCAGAGAGGAATCCCTGGGCAGATCTGAAGAGGGAAAAGAGCCGTGTAGGAGGTCAGAAAGGAGAGGACTTGCAGGTTCAGCATCACCCTGATGCTTCAACCTCAGGAGGCAAAAACACCACGGCAGGGTTCCCATCCTTCAGCAGCTCTGCAGGTCTCCCACTGCCAGAGAGGAGCTGGGGAGGAGGGGAGCCCTGCTCAGCGCAAGTCCTGTCCTCCTGCCTCCTCAGGCAGCAGGTTAGGTACAGCCACAGGCATCAACGATCATGTCAGGGATGTCAGTCTTGACAATGTTGCTGTCCCTGTCATAGTAGAGCAGGGAGAGGGGGCGGCGTTGTGTGGGCACGCAGCAGGAGTCCACGGCAGCATCGGCATTGTTGGCTTTGATGAGGTTGAGGACAGCTGTGTGGAAGGAGGCAGCAAGACCAGGGATACCAGCCATATGGAGGGGGCAGAGCCCAGCGCAGTAGTTCATGTGATATCCCTCTGGCTGGATGATCCAGTCCTCCCAGCCGATCTCCTTGAAGTCCACAAAGAATTCCTTGCGGCAGCACATCCGTGAGTCTCCGCTACAATCAATGCCACGCCGCTGGACCCGATGGGGTGTCCTAGTTCGGGCCTGGGCTGCCACAAATGGCCAGTGGGAATCACTTTGACCAGCCAGTAGGGGAGACCCCAAGTCCTCTGCCATCTCCAGCTCCACAGTAAGCCTCTGTCTCCCTTCTCTGAAAAGTCTCTGGACAGCCTGTCCCACATCCAGCGTGGCCCAGCCAGCCCTCTGCACCTCCAGCCATGTCTTGCTGACCATGGTCACGTTTGGCCCAGCCAGGTCAGGCTGCAATAGTTTCACAATGACCTGGTGCTTGCCAGGGCTGGGGGATGCCCAGAATAGGTACAGGCTGGCTTGCAGGATCTCGATGCTTCTGCCCAGCTCCTGGGCGAAGAGGAAATGCAGGCGAATTTTGCCGGGAGTGGAGGATCCTGCGAACAGAATGGGAAGTGGTGTCAGGAGCTGAGGAGGGAGACTCTCCCAGCCTGGCGGCCCAAGGGTCTGAGCAAACAGGAGGCATATTCAAACCAGGGAGCAGGACACAGGACATAGAGACCTTGAGGAGCCATTTGCCCCCTGCTTCTCTCTGCTGCTGCTGCTTCTCCTTCTCGCTCCATTGTAAAGAAGCAACCTGTGGGCCTCGTGCTTAACTCTAGCAACCAGCTCAGATCCACCTTCTCTGCCCTAATATTGCCCTGGTCAGTAAAGTTGCTGGAAGATTTTGGGGCAGGTTTTCCAGCTGCATAAACCAGCCCTGGATTTAAGGCAGTCACGCTGATTTACACCACCAGGACCACCTCTGCTTTCCATGGCTGGAACCACTGTGTGACATTGCTCCATCACATCCCACCCCAGCCTCAGCTGTGTTTTAGGGCAGGCAGAGCCACCTCTCCTCCTCATAAAGGAAGGGTTGCTTGTGACTGAGAGAGTAGCACTGGGCCCCTTGGCACAGCTTGGTATGTGAGGATACAAACCTCTTCCTCTGTGGTCTGGCACAGCACGGAAGGGCAGGAGAATGGGCTCAGCCCCATGGCTCATGCCTGCTGCTCCATTTCCAGCAGATGCTCCGCTGAGCCAGGAGACAACTCCCCATTGTCCTCGCATGTGGGAACACAATGTACCACAGAGGAGCATTGTTCCTGGAGGTCTTCAAGGACACTGCAAGCCCTCCCTGTCCCACAGCAGCCTTGCAAACCACACAAGGGCCCATGAGAGGAGTGTGTGCCCCCAATACCTCCCTGAGCAGCAGTTTGGGCAGGGCAAAGCAGCAGCACAGAAGGATGCACGGCGGGGTGGAGCAGCTGTTCAGCTTCTTTCTGAAGAATGCTGCATTTGCTTGGGAGAAGTGGGGGGAACAGGACCCTGCTTTTCCAGTGATACTTGTAATGACCCCTTAGCGTGTTTTGGGAAGCCCTCTCCTCCCAGGAACGCTGCTGGTTCTGTGGTGGAAAGTGGCCGCTCACCATTTTGGGAAGGAAGTGGAGACATGTCCCAGCTGCAGGGAGCAAGTGGGCTTTGGGGACACAACTTCACAGACTGCAAGCTGAATCCAGGCTTAAAATCATGGTTTGATCAACATGGACACCTGACCCATCCCTCTAGCATGAGTGGGGAAAGTCCAACAAAAAACACAGTCACATAATAGGGCAGCTCACCTTTGCTCCCATGCCCAACCCTGTGCCACCATGGGTCCCCTGAGAGGTAAAGGAGAGTCCCGGCAGCGCTTCGCCCCTGGTGGCAGGGGGTGGCCACTTGGGGAACCTTGTGTAACCCCCCCCCACAAGACCCTCCGGGCCACTATGACCCCTCCTGGCCGGGGACCATCCTGCCACGCCGGTGGGACCTGGGATCCGTACAGACCTGACTCGGCAAAGCTCAGGATCTCGTACTCCTGTGCGCCGGAGCCACGGGGCATGCCCAGGGGGTTGGTGTGCTCCACGCGCTGGGCGCGCGTTCTGCGGAGAGCTGCCAGCAGGGCCCCCCGGGACATGGGCTGAGTGATGCTGGGCCTCTCCTGCAAGCGGAGCTTGGAAAGGATGTCCTGCTTCGCCAGCGCGATTAGGACGTCCCGCCGCGCGCTGGGGGCCAGGGCCGTCAGGCCGCAGGTCGGGCACCACGTTCCTCTGGG